TAAAGCGGTCATACGTAATACCTCTTTATATGTGTCCAGTTTCTACATGATTCGTTGTTTCTCCGTATAATCAGTATGTGTGTATACAAACCCTTAGTCGCCCATATATTGGCTGCAGCCATTTTGTAAGCCTCTCTGGAGAATGAGTATCGCATGGATTGGGTTTGATCTATGTAACGATTTTGCGGTAAGCTGGCAAGCCAAGCTTTCATATACGACAAATAGCTTTTGTACAACTTAAGAATCTCTCCCAATGAACACAGACAACATTCTGTGGTTATATGACTCAGACGTGTGTGGATTTCGTTCGAAGTTTGCTTTCCACTTTTAGCCCATTCGTGAGGACTAACACTATATCACAGCTCTGCGATTGCCTTTATGTCTTCAGCTCTTGGCAAGTGTCTATACGGTAGAGAGAAGGGTATTTTTTCCAAGTTCGAAAGTCTGTACATGTTTGCGTCGCATTTACAAACCGTGCGAACTTGCACAGCCTAGGAAAAGGCTCAACTTTTCTGACGCCAAACGACAAACGTGTGTGATCAACAAAAGCGAAACACACAAATCATTCGTTCAGAAATCAACTAAATCGTCGATCAATAATCAATAACCCTGTTTGCGCTTCAAGCCACCTCCGCACTCTGTGCATACAATCGATTCGAGGTTAAAGCCATAGCGTTTATATTAAACTTACGTAAATGTATATGCAAACCGTGTCGTGGAATAGGTCGCCCAGTACAAGATCCGCCTTACCATTTGCGGTTAACGACCACGGATCTGTCTACGAGTGAAATTACATTACGAACAGCGGTCGTAAAACTAGAAATCTGTTAAACGCTAAACGTTTACATTATAATTGTAGCAAATTGTAACATAAGAGGATTAAACAAATATATACGTATATACAGCACGAATCAAGATGGAGGCCAGATCGTAGCATGCCGGTTAAGTTGTGCCCTCTTATAGCCTCATCATATCGCTAAATAATCCTCGACAAAACTTGAACTATAAGGAATTGTCCAGCCTGAACTTTGAGAGTACGTAGTAAGGCTAGAAATGATTGTCTGTGAAACGAATACATCTGCGAATTGTCTTCGTACGTACCCTAGCGTACCTGATGATCACATGCAACATCATGCAGCAGAAGTAAACACCATGTGGTTATCGTTTCTGCACGCAGACAGACGGCAATCTTGCCTAGTTAACATTTGGCTGTAGTACAAAACTTGCCCTTTCACTTTGGAAACAGTAGTTATTACTGGTCAACGCGCAGCCGTAAATCATACTCAAGCTCGTTAGATTTTACGTGCGTGAATACGTTCTGTGCGAGGCTTGCTGTGCCTCTCTAATAGTTTTGTTATTGACGATTGCCGTTTGTCAAACGAACCTCACAACAATAACGGCCTTAGAACACAATGATCAAAAACAGCCTATGACGTGTGAGAATGTTACTCGGGAAAACTACCCGTGTGAGCAACTTTTCTACGCTCGGAAATCGGCTGATTAAAACAATGGTACGCGACAATATTTATCCTGTTAAATATAATGTCATCGTGGTTAACAGTCAACGCGAGTATCACGTTAAAATTTAGAAAAAAAAAAAACATGATCTGCTTTGCACCGAATATCTCAACAATATTTGGAACAATAATAATAACACTAATAACGATAATAATGTAGTAGAAACACCTTATTGAAACAAGTAGAAAGTTCCGACAACTTATTGAATTTCGCGGTTAGCTGGTTTTTACCACATTCTTTGGAACACGTTACTATTGTGAAAACGATTTAGGTTGGGCTCATCGTACTGGCAAAAAATCGCCCCTGTAAAATGCTGTCCTTCCTACAAAGTGCAGCATCCATAGAAAGTGTATAAACTGAGTAGTACATATACGTCATACACGGTGCAATGACGTCCCAGGTATCAAACAGAATCCAGATAGATTCTTTTCCAGCGCCCACCTTAGCCGTGATGCTAGCGTTTCGGTACATGTTTTTGGAAATTTTGTCTGTTCCGGTTTCGTGCGCGGTCGAATTCACGGATAGTCTGGTCTAAAAATTCTAAATTTCTAAGAGTCACACACAGCCAAGTCTTCTAGACTAAATTTTTGTACGTCTCCCAAGACCTGATTATTTAAATATACATGTAAGATAGTATCTATGTATAATAGCATCGAAGAATATTATGGGTAATTCATTTTTCACACAGAAATTTAATACAAGAGGATCAAAGAATAAACATGAAAGTCAACACTAAATTGTCATTTATTAAGGAAATGGTCTACTAAAATAGAAAGGTAGTGCAGCTTCGTGTGAACGAGACAAATTCTAGGCTCGTTAACAGTGATCCAGTTGTTGACGTTCCGTTTTTTTTTGTATTCTATGATTCCACTCGATTCCGATCACATCGGATGATTTCGCCTCTGTATTAGGCGGCCTTTCTCTGAGACGTAAAGGTAATTTAAATTTAAAAGAAACCTTTTTAATCGTTGTACATTTTTGCATACCATTTAGGCATAAACCCTGGGTTATTTTTCCCAGGGAATCATATGCAATGATGGTATCACACCCATCTTTAAGGTTAGAAAGTTAGCTGTGCGCAATAACTGGCAACACATCACAATTTGACTATTTTCTGCAGTGACAGAGTGATGATTTCACTTGTTTTTATATCTTCTACCTTGGACCTCTTGATAATATAAATGTATTCACGCAATTAACACAGCCAAGTCTTGTAGGCTTTTTTGCCAGAACAATCTCTCCCATATATTAAGAGGTACACTAAGGCATATCTGTGATTATTCTAGCCTTTAATTACGGACCCTGACGGACCACACGAACACATACGTCACCCAAAGGCTTCACAGCGAACATGACAGCTGCAATATAATCTTCTGCGTGCACTTTTCTTCCAGTTAATTGAAACTATTCTGTCATATCATAGTTCTTGCCGTTTCAGCTATGGCATCCAACTGAAGCTGCCAGCCTGTCGCGTAAGCCAGCGCGTTTTTAAGATGGTCCCTTCTCGCTACATCCTCCATTCTAATGGCGGAGTTCCATCTCCCTAAAACAAGCTCAATTTGTCTAGCCGTGTAATGCGACTATCCACACTAGCTCTGGCGCATTGTATACAGTATTTAACAGCCTGCTTTTACAAAATCTTGTCGCCTTGTTTCGAAGGCCTCTGGTTACTATCTGCTCAAACGGGCGTTCTATCGAATCGAGATGCCGAAATGAGCCGGGAAGGCCAATGCGCCACGCTAGGGCCAAATTGAGCACGCAATTCACGTTATAATTCTCAAATAAATCTATGTTGATACCTTTGACACGGCTGCCGGAACCCAGCGAGAAGTCCGGAACCAAGCGGAATAGAGTCGAGCCCCTACGTTGGTTACTGCAGATGATCGCTCGGCGGATACCGCAATGAACAAACTGGCTGATTACATTCGTGCTAGCTTTGCGTCAGCTGAGTTTAGCTTTATGCTCAATATAATGCCGGTGCTGCGGTCCTGTTTTATCTGCCTATCCTTCGCATCTCTGCTTCCAACGAAACACGCGGTCTCCAGGTTCCCTTGTCCTGTGTTCAGCTTTCTCGACTCTGAATAACCCTCAAAGACTCCAAAATTCTAATTCTTCTAATCGTGGGCCGACCGTCCACAAGAGTCTACTCACTTCTGGCGCTATTCAAGTCTGAAACCGAGACTGAAAGTCGGCTCGGTTAGAACGTCCTGAACTCCCAGTTTAGCAGACTTTTCCCCCCCCCTGAGCCTCATCCGGGGCCAAGCAGACCGGTCTGCTATTTCGTTTCCGCTGCTCCGTGCCGTGTCCGTCTTCACCATTACAGCTCCCTTCCACTGCTCTGCTGTGGAGGTCCGAGAGCGACGGAGACGACGGCCGCAGCGGTCGCGGTACCAGCGTCGTCTCTGGCTCCTGCCGACAACGGCCCCGCGCTTCCGTGACAAGCGGCCATTAGTAGGAGCTTTGGAGTTGGCGGAACCACGTTCCAAAGACACGGCAGAAACCAGAAAGGATGGCAGAGAGACGGGAAAACAGCAAAGCAGCTACTAGCAGTAGCTAGAAGCCGGCACGAACTGTGAATAAACCGTGTGGCTGTACGTCGCGAGGAATGGGTCAGCCGAAACGTCTGCCGTTTTTGCAGTCCCATAATTCTGGCAAACGACGTTGTGGCGCGCACATACACACGCTTACAACCCGCACCTATCACAGCACTACTTTAGTGCCTTGAGATTTGCAGACCCTCTAAGACAGTGATGGTGTGAGTCGGCATGCTGCTAGTGGTATATGCGACTTCTTTGCATATTGGACTAACAATACTCCTCGGTGTTTCGCGTAAAGGTATAAGTTGATTGTTTGACCGTAGCTTTCTGACCGAGTGAAACTGTATAGAGATGGCCACAGGAAACGGAAACAAAAAACGGAGAGAAAAGAAAAACAACAGAAGAAGATAGTGGAATTAGCTTTAGGGGCCATTCTCGTTATCTTTATACAAAAACCCGCAGGCAGTTCAATAATAGCTAAAACAGTAGTGACATATGTTGTGTAATCGGCTGCACCTATTGCTAGAATTCGGCGTTAAGGGATTTTAGTCGTTAGCGACGACGGATTAACAGCCCTTCACTGTTTTCCTGCCCCACTGGACACGAGTGAAACAAGACTAGCTATTTGTCAACGACAGTGGGGCATATTATTGGCAGAGAATTCATACCAAATGTAGATGGTACTGATACGAATGTGCAGTGCTAGGATAAAAGCTGCCTCACGCATAAAGTAGTGTGCTGTCGTATTTGAAATAAGTCTCAAAACCTGCCCTGACGCTCGACTAAGGCTTGAGAATTTTCAAGTTATAATTAAATGATATTTATTTTCAGATCGCTGGCCTTTTTCGAGTGGAAATAGTTTCTTTCCTCAATGGTTGAGAAATGGTTTCCCCAGAATATAGAAAAACGACATTATAATCCTACTTGAGCGGCTTGTAAACCTACCTTTGTGGGGTCTCCTTTTGCTGAACTGTGCTTCCACTCCTACGATGAAAAGACACGTTATCCACGTACACAATAGCATAACTCTTAAAGGGTAGCCCATTTTGGTCACGACGTTATTGCGGTCGGTCTCACACACACGCTCGCACTTCCGTTTCTTTTCTCTGTATTGTTATATTGGGATATTAGTAAACTCTCGTCGCTTGACAAAAACCTCTACCCGTCGTCACCACCACGAAACACTGACAGTTATCCTTAGCCGTCACGCTGTATGGAACTTTTGAGATCGTCTATTTTACTTGACGGTCGCTTCTAAGCAACAATCCTTCCCTTAGGACAGATCACACGTCCATTCAAATATGGATTGTCAATTTGCTGATGATGAAAAGTATCCACTGCGCACTCTCACGCCCTCTGCACCTAAATACCTTTCTCGAGTTTTATTCCCTTCAAAGATTCGCTGTCACTTTTCATCTTTTTATCTGCACACGATTTTTGTTACACCGTATGACATGCCGAACTGATGTCATAGATGCACTGAGAGTGCGATGCTGGCTTCGTTCGTCAAATGATGGGTATCCACACTCCGTTATAGAAAAGGGTCGAAAAATTTAATGACTTGTTCAGACAACGATAAGTCTGATACGAGTGCCGCTCGAAACAAGAAAGACGCAGACCGGAGATCCTTGTTCGGCTTGCTAGTCACAGGACTCTATGCTCCGAAATGATCCGACACTTGTACAAGCAGCAGTAGAGTCCTGGCACTCGCTTCTTTTTGTTGTCGCGTTCCTCTCTTTGTAGAATTAGTTAATAGTTTATTTGGCTCGGCTCGTAGGGCCGACGCCCAAAGCTTTGCAGTGTACTTTTCGGCTGGTGCGTATGGCGCGCATGCTAAATCGTCTCGAAAACAGAGCGTTACACTCCTCCTATCGAGACAGTCCGTTCTCAACTGGAGTGGCCCGATCGAGCGAACTGAGGAGATGCAGAGAGTTCGTCGCAAGGGGGCGCACCGAAGGGCCATCTCGTGAACGTGGCGCTCCCTGGCGACGGATTCAGTAGCTACTACAAAAGACGGCCAAGAAGATCTCGTCAGGAACAGAGAATCACAAAGCCTACGAGAAAAGGAACTAGGATGGATGAAGCGAGGTATATGATCTCCGCATATATACGGACAAAGAAGACTAAGAAAATTAATTAAAAAAAATCGCTTTTGTTTTCGGAGTGGCTTTTATTATAGAAGTGGACAATCCAGTTGACTGTACAAGGGTCACGTAAAACGTCGACTAAGTCTGAGATCCGTACACAGAGCCAATACACGGTGTTGGAGCTGTAGCTTTTGCCAAATTAACCAGAAGTCGTTATACAAAATATATCAATGAAATCATATTTTCTATCGTTATTCTTCTGCCTAGTTTATGTGCCGAAATGCCACAAAACGGATGCTGGCTCAACAAATTACAATTCAGATCTTCAATTATATTACAGGTGGATCTATATGGGCTACGCGTATTACGCTCAGATAACAGCCAGACGTCATTATAATGCGACGTTCTGTTGTTACTAGATAGAATGCCGCTCAGCTGAAATCCAGCTGAAGCTCACCATTGAAATGGTGATGGTATATGTATGTGTACATCGTGGTCATGTTTACGTAGAATTCGAGTTGCTGAGATGGTGTAGCGATCAAATACAGCCTGCTAACATGTTATGGTTCGTGTTTCTATATCGAATAGGCTCAGCTCAGGCCAGGACTACTAAACTTCTCACAGTCACAGTCAGTGCCCAGTCATCATCGCGGCGCAAGCTACGCTCGAATGGTCGGAAGGATCAGATTGGTTAATTGTTAATAAAAATATTAATCCTGTATATGTGTTTGGCATGAGATCGTTTGGTATTATTTGACAAGAGATGCACAAACAAATTACATCTATTTTTTCAATTTATCATAATTTCGTTGCCTCTTCAGGGTGTCCACTTTTACACCTTTGTTTCAAGCATGCTTTAATAAAATACCTAATATATGAAGACGAGGCCTCTATCCTAGCTAGTTGACTAATAGGTAAAAGTAACAACTGATTTACTATATGCGTTGCGGGTCAATCGGAATTTCACTCAGTGCCTATTTAGCTAATGAAGTTGAGTTTACGAAAGTAACTACGGTAGCACTATGAGTAGCTTGCTAGTTAAGAAAAAAACTTGAAATTTGCGAAGATTATAGCTTCATAGTAAGTACAATGCCATTTGGATAAGGCGAATATTACACTGAGCGAATACACCGAATCATAGTTTGAAGTACATTCTAGGGTAAACTTGGCACGGCTTAAACCTCTGGAATTACCAAATAATACATACATATAACTATTGCTTTCCAAACAGGGTGGTAGGATATACGGGGTGTCACGGGAAAAAAGTTGATCAATTTTGGCACAGGGCAGTATATGCATCATCGAACCTAACGAAGGTCCTAATTTATGACACAAACCAGGAATCCTTTAAGCCTAAAGCTGGAAAAGTACCTTAGAGCTTCTGCGGGACGAGATAATCTTTGGTAGATGATATTCTAGAGAACAATACACTTATTCAACAAAGGCTGTTCGAAGTCAGAGGCATGAAATAAGATAAGAAAGTAACAATTTTTTCAGTGACCAACAACCTCTTAATCCTTCTTTGAAGCATTTCCTTAACATGTATAGTCCATATGCCAGCGTATGGACTAAGATGTCTAAAGCAAACAACTTACTACTGGTACAGAACCCAATCACGTGTGCGTTTCGTACGGCAGTGAATAAGTTACTCAGACTTGCAAACGCTCGAAATTGACGCGCGTAAGCACTCCAAATCGACATGTGTTCTTATTGTGGAGAAGTTGACCGAGGTCAACAATGGTCGCACACTGTAAAATGAATGGCCTACAAACCAACAACTTCAAAAAAGTTGATATGAACAAAAACAATAGTTAATATCCTTTGAACCGATTTATCGTACGGATAGTTGTTACTGTCGGTGCCCATAGACCACGCTACTGTGCCTATCGTACCAGCAAGGAAAATTATGAAATTTCCAGATCATTTAGACAATATGCTGCTAAGCTAGAAAGATACCGATCAGCTCATAATAACAAAACTCACTCCGGATTTCTCTTCACCAAAAAGGCTAAAAGCAGAGTCGAACAGCGAATCTGAATCTTCTACAGGCTGAACTTTGCATACTTCTTGTATATCATCAATTCCGCGTGCGGTACTGAGTGGTAGATGTACAACAAAGTACTTTGAAGAGTACAAAGGAATTTGGTAATAACTTATCAAACATACATAAACCTATATATCGTCGTAGATAACTTTTGGCAGAAATTTATCATCGAGAGACTCTGACCATACTAGCTGACCGCAATGTAGTGGTTAACACGCCAATAGCAGACGATACGCCAATGCGTGTTTACATATCAACATAAACAATATCTGATAGCTATCGTCAACTCGGGCAATTGCATACTTGTGGCATTCATGCACTCAACGATCCACGTTAGCGATTATTATTTGGTCTTACATTTGATCGGTACTACAGTTTGTGGTAGATTTTTTCAACACGTTTCCAGATGTTTCTCTACTAAAGAGAACTGGTCAGCAACGTTTGTTGCCGATAACAAACGTTTAAAGATGGCCAGGGGCGTCTAAAGGGCATTCTACTTACACTATAAACACTTTGCTTTGTAGCCATAGAACTTGATAGTAGAGATGAAAAGTCAGTTCACTTTGTACGATAGCACGATTATGTAAAGGTTTCCATACACTTCAACATGTATTTTATATCAATTTAGTATATTAGTATCATCAGTCCTCCCTCGTCAAAAGAAGCGACTAATTTTCTTAGACGATGAATTATGTTGACGAAATGTATGTTTGTTTACCGCAAAAAAGTATTTCTTTTTTTTGCAATGTAAAAAACTTCAACGTTCGTTAACAACACAACGCAGCTTTGTGCAGAAAATGTTTCTACCCCGTCCACACTACGATCAATAACACGTTAAACGGATCGTTTGAACTTAACATACTATCAACATAATGTCAGAAACTTAGGAGCATCTAAACTTAGTTACACCTAGAATACTTGATACCGATGAAACATAATGAGACATATTATACAATGAATAAACCGCTACGTTTTGTGTCCCGCCGACTCACCAATGATCGTCGCAATATTGAGTCATGTACAACAAAGAAAGTTTTTTACCTAACTAACTAAATAATTTGTCTAACTTCCGATACATTTTAAGAGTCGTAGTATTCAGCTTCCATTGTTTTATCTGGAGCGAGCAACGATTCGATACCAGTGCTGATCTTCGAGCAATAGATAATGCCAAGTGGTGGCGTCAGCCTCATCAAGAACAAAGTAGGATTCAAAGGTCAGTTGTTTTGGCTCCATCGCGTCCATGATCAAGTCTACCAGAGACTAGTAACTCCGTTGCTTGTATCACGTTTTTTGTTTGTTTTCATCTCGTTACGCTGTTGCCGCTCCTGTTACTGGCGTCGTAGCAATTAGCTAGCGTTAACCGCCTTTCCCATCGACCATCGCCAGTTGCCACCAATACCGTATCAGAAATCCGCAGAAACGGGACAGCAGAATGCAGCGTAAGTTGCGGAGAGAAAAGAGGCGCGAAGAGGCGGAAAAACGAGAGAGAGAGAGAGAGAGAGAGAGAGAGAGAGAAAACGGTAAGCCGTTCCATCGCTGCCCGTCCGTGAAGATCGACAAGCAGATAATCGCGCATGGACGCAAAAAAGGGGTGACTGTACATCAACACTAACAGTAGCTAGAGGTTTTACCCGTCTTTGCGCGCGAACGCGTGCGCCAGCCGAAGCCAGCGGACGGCAATGGCAAATATCATGGTCTGAGAATCAGTTCGCGAGGTAACCGGTGGCCCCCGGATAAACACGCGGTCGTAAGTACAGACGGACCGATAGACTAACAGACGCATAGAAAAAGACCTGACGCTAGTGAGAGTCAACTAGAAATCTTCATTTATCATTTTTGACGTGACAGGCCCGAAGTGTTTCTTGCTAATAAAGAGAAAAAAGGACAAAGAGAAAAGCCCAATATGCCATATACAGGAGAGAAAGCTAGCAGGAGAGGAAAGGTTTGGGGGGGGGGGGAATAAGAAAAGCCGGACTAGCAGTGGGGGAGAAACGAATTGTGGCTTCACGCACGCCCCAATTAGCCGAGTGGCCGATCGACAACGCGCGGACAAAATGACATTACAACACATGCTGTGTAAAGACAAAAGAAAGAAAGAGGGACTCGTAATAGAACGGTAATACGTCGTTTTTGCTGTCGTTGTTATCCCATCACTGACCAGTGATTTGTCGTGAGCGTTGTCGCTGACTGTGAAACCGTTGTTGGTAATTAAAAATAAAAAAAAAAATAGATGGAGCCGAGGGAAAGACAGCGAGAAAAGGCTGAGAGATACGAGAATGAAAAACAGGTAATCACTAATTAAGATCGGAATTTCTGTAGCTCATATACAATATCTAATCATAATATCTTAATGCTCTCACTACGAGGAATGAGCGATGATTAATGATGATGCCATGAGGGCAAGATCAAGGAAGAGGTATCGGTTTCGAATGTTTGGCTTTTTCTGGAACAACAAAAAAAATTGTTCTGCATATTCGTATGTATATGGTATACGTAAATTAATGGATAATGAAAATTCAAATGGTAACTGAGCTTGACATAATAATATAGTATTAAAAAAATAGCGTCACATTGATTTCTTGGTGAAAGAGTCTTTTTATGTCAATGATAATTCGTTTTGCGGCTCCGGTAATCGACTGACAGTCTTACTTCCTTTCTGATTATTTTACTTTGTATATATATATATATATATATATATATATATATATATATATATATATATATATATATATACAGAATACTTTTCTTTGAGAGGTGGCACGGTATATCCAGATATAAGTTATATTCTAGAGGAGCATTGCTTTCAGGTAATCATCTGTTGGAAATGGCCGATGCTTGTCAAAAAAGCCGTGGGTGGAAGGCGTTTTCAATGCTTTCTACAAGGACAAGCAGATCGGCTGCGGATTTGCTCGCTGCGGAAGTTGAAAACCGACTTGTAATCAAAGAAGTCGCTTTTTATTTGATTTCAAATAATATTTTTATAAATAATATGCTACCAAACTGTGTTTCAAAGATTCTTTCGAACATTGTGTCTTTTTTTGCCTTTAACGAACTCTTTCATTTTTACTCCATTGAGATCAGGCCGTCTTGTGAGTACGTTTAGGTATCCATTCCTTGCTAATACCTATCACCGCCACTGCACTGCTTATCGAAATGCCTTCGGGATCTCTTTACTATAGGTGTTCTCCGTCTCTAGTTTACTTAGCTGACGTATTTATTCTTTTCCATGCATTCTACGGTAACGCTTTCGAAGCTATGCCCGGTCCTCCTAATATTTCGAACGCCAAAAGTATTGTCAAGTATTCCTCTTTGAGTAAAGGATACTTTTATAGCTAGCGTTATTCCGCTATTAAAATTTTTTATTGTGGGGCGCACTATATGCTCACGTAATGTACATTTATATTTTTCGTCAAAACTTTAAGTGACTCATATAGTACGTCACTTACCTTAGTGGATAGTTGCCTAATTCCATGCACTCTTCTGAGACTGTCTATTGGCATGACTAGTTTTTTAGGCCGATCTAGAACACTAATTTGAACTTATTAACTTTGTAACGAACTGCGAGTCTAATTAAAAAAGGCGGTTATTTTTTAATCAGACATTTACGACAAAGCAATACAAGCTTCAGTAATCCAATAAAAATGATCAAATAATTGTTTATTGAATGCTCATAAAGCTCTTAATTATTACCTATATTATTCCACAGCTTGATTCTCAAAATCACATATTTTATGTATCAAATATAAACGAAGCGTACACAAACGCGCGGTATTCGATCTCTTTGAGTGTGATACGGTAAGTACTCAATGTCTGCGCATATACGCTCAAAGTATCCAAGTCTCCAGAAAGACTGCATCAGGGCATGCACTGTATTGGACCCAGCCAGAACATAGATTTTTATTCACTAAGTAGATATCTGCCCCCCCCCCCCTCGGCGGACCAGTGAGAGCAGCTCTACTGGGCTTCTTAGGTGTTCGTTGTTCTTGCTGCTGCCGCCGCCCTTTTAGTCTCTACAGTTGTCCTATGTTTAAGATACCTTATCCCTAAATTTCTTACGCTTCCCTAGCCAATCGCATTACTTCGCTAACGTCCTCACATACGCTGGGACCGTAATCACTTGTCTGGACCTGATTGTTCATTCGTAGTTTTTAGAACCACGCGTTGTGTCATCGGTCTCTAGCGCCGAACGAAAGATTGTGGTAATAAGAAAGTGAAACACTTCCTGGACCTGGAGGGTTGCAAAATATTTAAATATAGCCCACCATATAAGAGAAACGAACGCTGTTTGTTTATGGAGATGTAACTGCCGAGGAGACTATGTCTTAACCGACTAGAGAGGACGCTACGCAGGAAAAGCCAACGAACTAGGGCTTTAGGGCGGTAGAGTGCGCCCCCAGCGGGGGTCTTGCATGGAAGATGCCCATAGTCCTGAGCCTGCTGCCTCTTTAGCAGAAGCATCTTGTATAACGCAAAATAAGCTTCTCGTTTCTCTCAACCCCTATACGCAGACGTCTCGGAATATCACGGTGTGCTTATGGCTTCGGGCAAAAGGCGGGCCAGCTATCTTGGTAATAGTACCACAGGTTAATCGTTCTGGGAAGTTGCTCTTGGGGCAGTAATGCGGGCGACAAGCGTAGCAGCAGTGGTAACAACTGTGGCAATAGATGCCTCACAAGATGCAGTAGAGCGCCACGGGATCCTCTTCGATATGTACAGTGTCTTCAGTGAAAATAATTCCCTAAGCTATACCCCAGAAAACGACTTCAGCGATCCCGTACAGTTCCCCGCGACTGCATGATTTCTATGTTGTCTTTTTTGGTTTGTCTACCCTCCGGTGTTGCGATACAGGACCAGCTTTCACAAGCATGTATTTTTATATGCTTGTAGTAAGAAAATGTGAATAGCAGCTTAGTAGTTCAACATGATTTAGCACTGTTGTACACCTATTGGCGTACGCACTCACTTTTGGGATACGAGCCTCTGGTCGCGTGTCCTGTATAAAGGATAATTTTAGTAGGGCATAGCAACAATGACGTACAAACGTAGCTACCTGCCTAGTTTCCTTTTTGGCTCCCTGTAGCCCTAAGGAATAATGGCTAGCGAATGATAGCCTTAGCCCTAAGAATAGTTATATGCTAATTAATTTCTTTCTAGCGTGCA